TGTGTGTGAGAGAGAGAGAGAGTGTGTGTGTGTGTGTCTGAGTGTGTGTGTGTGCGTGTGTGTGTCTGTGTGTGTGTGTGTGTGTGTTGGTGGGGAGGGGGGTGATGGCAGGGTAACAGTGTGTTTTTCATGCTATATATTTTTCTCTCCATCTGACTCACTTTCAGCATGTTTGTTCGTCCATGACCTACACAGTTTATTGTGATATCTTTTTCTCCCATCTGTTTATCAGCTATCAGTTGTTTGTCTGTGAGTCAATTTCTCATTTCTGCTAGCCGAAGAAATAGTTGAAGTTATTTTAGAAAAACAGACTGACCATCAAAACGGATAAAATCAATAGTTGTATTTTACAGAATACAGTATCAAAAGTAATACAGCCAATGGAAGAATTTAATGCATGACAAATATTTTGAACATGCCTCCGAGTATGAAAACATAATTTTACATCGATTTCTTAAAAAATATTGTTTTCGGTTTTGTTATGATGTTTTTGTTAACAGTGTTATCGGCGTTTTCGGCCTGAATATAGCAATCGGGATTTTGAGAATTAAACATGGTAATGTGCAAACTCCATTCATAATTGGAGAGGATTTTTGGGTTTTGTGTGTGTGTGTGGGGGGGGGGGGTGTTTAAATATATACTCATATTGGTCTACTCTGTCTCTCCTACCCTTTACTTTCACTTTTTTAAAATCCATTTGTGAGGCAGCGTGGTGAAAACAGGTCTCCTAGAAATAATGGAACTGAAGACACCAGCATTTATTCTCCATCGGTTTGGCAGTTTTTATCCAGTATCTTTGAAAATCTTTTGGTTCAACACCTTTTATGTCCATTGAAGAACACATCTCTTCCACGTTATTGATAACTTTAATAAAAGGCATGACAAAATGTAAATTTGCAGTTTTCCTTGACTCACAAGGTACGGAAATAGTCAAACTTTGGCGACCTTTTCAATCGCAAATGTCTCGACTTGTATTCAAGACTAATTGGTAGTTTTTTCATCGAAATCAAGAATAATTAACAAGCTTCAAGACAATACCAGTAACTCCATATTATGCTCAAAAACTGACAAGGGCCTGAATTCACCGCATGGGGACGCATTTTTTTCTTTTTCTTTTAACTTTAACAACTTACAGCTCCAGGTCCTCTGTGGTACCCCCTTGGGCTACCGACTACAACAGCTACAGCAACAGCTATAACAGCAGGAGCCAACCAGGAGGTGTGGCAGGACATCGCAACACTTCCAACTCAGCGGCCGGGGTGGGAGGAGGAAGAGGACGGGGTGCTCATGAGAGAGGAGGGAGGAGGAGTAACGAGAGAAGAGGGGAAAGAATGCCAACGGAGAGGAGGTAAGTCACTAAGGAAATGTTAGTTTGTTGTCCTCTTTGTAATGCTGCTCAGGCACACGATAATGTGTACTTTCGTTTGCACGGTGCGAGCAAGGTGAGCTACAGGTCAGACCTATAGAACCACTCTGGGGCCGGTCTTAGTTTGTTGTTGTTTTTTGTATGCTGCCCCTGCTTCTGGGGATGATATAGTTATTGGGATGCTATTGATACTAATTACAGTAATAAAACCGCTGTAAGGATAATAACGTAATATGCAATGATAAAGATACTTTT